ACGTAAATGCAACTAGTGCTACGAAAATATGAACAAATATGAACAAATTTATAGAAAACGAATGTCTTCCAAATTTTGAATTCAAATTCAAATTTTAAGAAAATTGGAGGAAACCACTTACGCTCAAAAGTACAAGAAAACGCATAGAAAAAAAAATCAAAATGCCAGAGACGAGGGAAGAAAGCCAAACGACAGTTCTTGCCGAGGAAAACCAATCAAGCGTTACGAAAGAAAACCAAACAGGTAGCAATGCCGAAAAAGGTCAAGCATCTTTACCGGAAATCCAAACCACTGTAGCCTATACAGATGACGAACTGGCCTCTTTTAGAGACAACATGGTTTCAAAAAATACTAGACGGCAAATTCACAAATTCGAGTGGTCGCAAAACAGTTATCCAAGCGCTCCGTGATTATTTCGACCCACTGGAGATATCAGAGCTCACTGGCCATTCTAATCCGGAATCCATATCCAGCTACAGTCATAATCCTCTGGAAAAACAGCGGCGAATGTAGACCAAGACAGTCAAAGGACGCATGCAAAATCTAAAGTAAATTCACCGTCCAGTTTTTAAGAAAATTCAAGTCTAATTTTGGACCCAGAATTGCAACCTAGCAACGTTGCCATGGCAACAAATTTTTCAATATAGTTATAACAAACTGATTCTTCAATAATATCTTTATTTAAGGGGAAAATGTGATCGCCATTCGTTAAAGCTAAGCTTGGTAATTCGGTAGTTTAGATATCTTGCATCAGAAACGTGAAAAACTATATCCAGCCTCCTTAAAGTCAAATGTCAGAACCGTCATTGATATAAAGGGAATGGAAAGCAAGGTAAGTCGCTCACGTTTGAACCGTCGACAATTTTAGTTATACCTCGTGAATTTTTCTTGAATCGCTAGCTAAAGCCTCCAAATCACTGGGCGAAAGCAGATGTTTTGTATTATTTTGCGCCACGCCAGTGCGCAAACGATGGAAACCCTTTCAAAGTCAGGTGTCAATATCCAGCGAATGGAGGGAACAAGATATTTTTAGAATGAAAACCACTTTTATTTCAAACTCATGGAGAAAGCAGTGCCTCGCATTTTACAATCTTCAGCAAAAAAACTGAAAGTACAAAATACGGAGTTATTTAAGACAGAAATTTGCCTGCTACCACTCAACTTGGCAAAATGTGGCACCGACAATCAACAACTGAATTGTCAAATCCTCAAGCGAAATGAAAATTTCAAGCGTTCCGGTATCAAAGCAAGATCTACAAAAACCGGTAAGTGCTTTAAAGTTATAAATAAGAGAGTGTATTCAAAATATAATGATTAAGACTCAGAATTTCTCGGTAAACTATGACGAAAAACAGTTCAAAAAAGGGTTAAAATTCACAGTTTTAACTGTTTTTCTTTCATTGCAGGGAGTCGCTCGTTGGTGTCAATTGCTGAACTAACAGTTTATGGAAATATTTACTGAAGAATTATTAAAAGTTACTCCAGTAAACATCCCGCCAACTGCTCTTGCCATCAGGTAACTAGAACGACTGGCATTGCTGTCAAGGTCACTAGTAGCTGCTGTGTTGCTTGGCGTGGATGAGCTATTGAGAACAATCTCCCGTAAAGCATACATATGACTCGAATAGCCGTTGGTAGTTGTCGTGCTTGGGTTGAAACCGGCCAACTTATTCGACATTCGCCGCTGTTTTTCCAGAGGATTACGACTGTAGCTGGATATGGATTCCGGATTAGAATGGCCAGTGAGTTTTGATATCTCCAGTGGGTCGAAATCATCCCGGAGCGCTTTGATGACTGTTTTGCGACCACTCGAATTTGTGAATTTGCCGTCTAGTATTTTTTGAAACCATGTTGTTTCAAAAAGAGGCCAGTTCGTCATCTGTATAGGCTACAGTGGTTTGGATTTCCGGTAAAGATGCTTGACCTTTTTCGGCATTGCTACCTGTTTGGTTTTCTTTCGTAACGCTTGATTGGTTTTCCTCGGCAAGGACTGTCGTTTGGCTTTCTTCCCTCGTTTCTGGCATTTTGTTTTTTTTTTTTCTATGCGTTTTCTTGTACTTTTGAGCGTAGGTGGTTTCCTCCAATTTTCTTAAAATTTGAATTTGAATTCAAAATTTGGAAGACATTCGTTTTCTATAAATTTGTTCATATTTGTTCATATTTTCGTAGCACTAGTTGCATTTACGTCTTTACGTTCGTAACTAATTTTTGCCCGGGACTCACGTCAGCGATATCGCTTTATGCATTAGTGCGATTCCACGCTAAATACCCTCTCTTCCGGTTGACGTATTGACCAATCAGAGCGCGTGTTTACCCTAAGCTAAGCGATTCTATAGAAAAATTCACCGCCTGACTCGTGAATTACACGTTAAATTTCACTTGAAAATACGATATCGCACTCATCGCGATATAGGTTTTTCGCGTGAAATTTAACGTGGAATTCACTCGTCAGGCAGTGAATTTTTCTATAATATAAATTATATACAAATCATATCCTAAAATTGACTCATCTAAGCAAAAACCTGTACTTTCACGAGTACTTTGAGACTAACTTATCGAGTCTTAGGAAGACTTGGGAAGGTATCAATAATCTGCTAAACAGAAGACGGAATCGTAAATCCGTCAGCAAAATCAAAAAACCTGATAATAGTGGTTTCACACAAGAACAATCTCAGATCGCCCCTATTCTTGATGGTCATTTCGCCTCTGTTGGACATAAGTTAGCCTCCAAGTTTCCTCAATCACCACACCATTTAGTTGATTATTATCGCCAAATTACTTTCCTTAATTCTTTTTTTTGTGCTCTGGTGAGCCCCTATGAAGTTCAACTTGAAATTCTGTCTATTCCGAACAACAAAGCACATGGACTGTACTCGTGTCCAACTCGTATTTTAAAATCCGCTAGTAGTGTTCTTTCTTTTCTTTTAGCAAATATATTTAATACTTCAATTGAGCTTGGGAGTTATTCTTCTAAACTTAAACATGCAAAGGTAATTCCAATATACAAAGATGGTGACGAGACAGACCCTAATAATTACCAACCCAGCTCCCTTCCCTCAAACTTTAATAGAATCTTTGAAAGATTGATGTATGTACGTCTTAAATCTTACTCAAGTAAGGCAGATATTCTTGATCCATCTCAATATGGCTTTAGAGAGAAACACTCCACCCAGCATGCAACGCTAGATAATATCAACACTATTCAAAACAACATGGACAATAAGTTGTATACCTTTGGCATCTTTATAGACTTGAAGAAGGCATTAGATACAGCAAATCATGAAATTCTTCTGCATAAATTATATCATTACAGAATAAAAGGAATAGTCAACGACTGGTTCTCTTCTTATCTTAAATTGCGTTCGCAGACAAGTAACATTGGCCCCTATATTTTGGAAAAGGCTCCGATTGATTGCGGCGTTCCCCAAGGCTCTGTTCTGGGGCTTTTACTGTTTTTGTTGTATATAAATGATATTACAAATCGTTCAGATAAGTTCAGGTTTTATTTATTTGCCAATGACACCAGTATCTTGTATGGTAGTAAAAATCTTAAATCCCTAGAATTAGAAGTGAACGTTGAGCTAACCAATGAATGGCTGACAGCAAACAAATTAACTCTGAATGCTAAGATATCTAATTATGAGATATTTCGAAATTATAGAAAGAAGCTATCTTTCCAAGCGAGGATAAATATCTTTGACATCGATAAAATGTCATATTCACCATTAGAATGCAAGGAGTATGTAAAATATCTTGGCATACTCATTGACAAGAATCTTAACTGGAAAACTCATATTGATCTCATTGCTCTAAAAATTAGCAAATCCATTGGTATGATAGCTAAACTGAGACACTTTGTACCCCTCTCTATCATTGTCAAGTTATATCAGTCTCTTATTCTCCTCTACCTTACTTATGGAATTAGCTCGCGAGGTCAAGCGTCACAGTCAACTTTGGATAAGATTCTCCTCCTTCAGAAGCGGGTTATTTGTTTAATAAACTTTTCTCCAAAGTGTGAACATGCTATTCCTTTTGTTATTAATCTTAATATCCTGCCTGTTCAATTTCTTATGTCGAATCGATTTCTTGTTTAATGAATGATATTCAAAATAAACTAGCTCCTCCCCGTATTCAAAATCTATTTACCTATGTCTCAGATATACATTCCTACAACACCAGATCAGCAACTACCAACAAATTTTATGTCATGTCTTCTCGTCTGGAACAACTTAAGAATTCTTTTTCCCACTTTGGCGTGCAGCTGTGGAATGCCTAACCTGACAGTGTTAAAAGATCTGCCCATAGAAATTTATTTCAAAAAAAAATACATGAAATACTTATTAATATCTTCAAAAAAGAGAACTTGTATCTAACACCATTGTCAATTCTTGAAATAATTAAAACTTTGTAAACCCCATCAATCCTCTAGCTACGACCAGTATAGCGAAGTCTCTTTCTATTTTCCTGTTATTATCATTACATTAATTTACAATTTTAATTTTAATTTATTATTTTTTATAATTTGAACTACTGTTTTCTTAGTGTAATCTGAACTGCTGCCAATTCGAAATCTTTGTAAGTACCAGTAATAAGCCCAACTTAAAGATACCTACTCGCCTCGACTAGTTTTCAACTAATCGTGGGTAGGCATTTCTCAAATTGTAATTGTTGTAAATCAATAAATTGTTGTTGTTTTGTTGTTGTTAGAACAGAACAAAACTTTTCAGCAACACATAGGGAACAGCTTTTGATCTTAGCACTACTTAAGCACAGTAATTCAGTTTCAGCTTGATCTCCTTTCCTATTTCACAATTTAACAATACTTAGTTACATTAATGTAAGCATTCTTAGATATAATTATTATACAAAAATTATGATACCAAAAAGTTAGGATAATATTTTGCCTAAATTCTTAGAAGCAGAAGACAATTTGCTTTCAGTCTCACAAGAGTAAATGCAAGATAAAGCCTACACACTGAATCACAAAATGACAGCCTCTCTCAATGATCGATTTACATTAATACGTCTACTTAACAAACCGACCACATTAAAACTGTAAATTAAAGCTGGCGCAAAATCAAATTGACTATGAGGGTATAAAACATAACTTTATTCGAGTAAACTTCAACTTTTGTCTTAAAAAAAAATATTTTGTAACTTGAAATTGATGCACTACAACTTTGTGAGCACTTTAACTTTTGCCACAAGTGTTACTTTAACGCAGTCGGCCGCGTTTCAACAATTCCTTCACTCATCAATCAAATATTGTGTAGCGTTACATCTGAAATCTAGACCGTACTTTCAGTCAGTCTCAAATCTTTAGTCAAACAAAAGTTAGAAAGTAAATCAGTTCTTGAAAATAGCATTTGCCTCAATCTTGCTAACTTCTGTTAACAACTTTTTCCAACTCCAGAAAACTCAAAGTAAATCGTAGGTTCGCTGATCATATTTTTTACCTTATTGCTGTCTTGAGAACACATGAATAGAAAAGTCGAAATATCCTTTCGTCTCGACGAAACTCAGAAGCTTATTTTCTTGTGAAAGTCCCTTTCATCAGAGATTCGACACCGTCAAAACCATCCTCTTGATTCATCCGCATCTGCCGCACTATCACCGATCGCCATATTTAAGTGCAGAATTGAACTCAAATTTTTTTCATCAAATATTATCCAAGTACTCCTTGAGGTAAATCAGTTACCATAACTTATCCAGTGCTTCCCAACAAAGTTTATGGCTTATTCTTTAATTCTTGTAAGCTTTTTAATCTCTCTCTGTAATCAGTCGTAAGTTTTTATGAAGGAAAACACAGCTTTAACCTCTCACATTTAACTCCACACTTTAGGCAAAAATTGCACAATTGCTTCTGATTGGCTGGCTAATAAACCTCGGCTTGTTATTAGACAATATAAGGGATTTAAATGCTTTTAGGACATAAGCATTTGCCTTAACGTTAAGACGTGTGGTACTGAAGCTGTAAAGGACTATGGGTCGTGCAATCAAAGAAAAAAATATGTTGAACTCAAGATGATTGACAATCCTTCAACTAAACGTTTTTATGATAAAGCACTCGCTGTATAGCTTCTGTACATGACACGTTGAAAGCGTCATGTACATCGCTTTTTCGTCGCTCTCCACTCACAGAAACTCCTACCATTAGAAACTCCTTACTCTTTTACGTTTCCCTCTACACCCTGATATCAGTGTGTATGGTCTCCATGCTATTTTCCCTACATTTCCCATGATGATAACGAGGAGAGCCACTCCTATGGGTTAGACTAATGTTTTTTCTAATTGACTTTGTTAGTCATATGATGTATGTCTCAGTACACCGCCTTAGCCATGAAATCCTAAATACAAAATGACATCATCATTTCGCCCGCCTTCTCTTGCGCGTAGAATTAATAGAGCTATTTAAATTTATCAATGTAAGAATCGATTAAGCCTCCTGAGCGAAATAAAATCCTATCACCAAAAACCAAACAATTAAAAACAAAACAGGCAACACTTGACATATTTGGTTCCAATAGATAAACCGTCAGACATAGCGTTACCATTCGAATGAATCGTAAACAGGACAAATTCTGTTTTACATCCAATTTCGCTCATAAATCCAGCTGTTTTCAGTTTAACATCTTTCTCTTTCCCAAGAAACGGATTGCAGAATCGATAAGAAACATTAGCCAAGGGAAGCCACCTTACATCATCCATCGCCTTTAATCTTGATACACAAGAGGGTGGGAATGGAAATTACTATTGTGAACTAAATGTTACTCACGAAGGACACGAACACGATCTGAAGAAGAACAAATTTTATTTTTTATCGTGCAACTGAAGTAGGTGTTACTTCCTTTTTTGACAGAGCACATTCTAGTAGTGCAGCTACTTTAATAAAGTAAATTAGCTAAGCACATCTTGGTTTGTAGTCTAGTTTTTTTTCTGTTCTCTCTGTATCAAAAATGTATATAAAAAATGAGAGAGAAATTTGAAGGTAAAAACTAAGCCAACTGGTATTATACAGCTGTTTCGAGAAAGGTTGTCGGAAAAAAGTACAAAAGTTCACGCAACAACCTTGAAAGGTAATCTGGGCATGCGGTAGTAAATGAATTTTAAAATGTGAAATAAATTAATGACTTCGTCAAACCCACTATGCCTCGTCCTTGCAGCGACTTTTCTCGGATTTCCCTGAAATCCTGAGATCAAGGAACCGTGACCTGAAAATTACCCACACGTTTACACTTTTTTTTTTTCCACGACAGCCTTTCTCGAAACAGCTGTATACATTATGCTTGTGCATAGTTCTCCTTTGGACTTCAGAGTGCACGTGTTAAAGAAACCTTGCAAGAAAAACGCCACTTGTCAAAGCGGTTTTACCGACAAAGATTATCGTTGGTTGTGTACTGCTGGACTCAAAGGTCGAAACTGTAACAAAGGTAGTCTCGAGGAGGGGAGACTGGGTTGGATACAAAAGAGACCAAGTTATTGACCTACTGGAACACATCCTTCTCCAGGATCTGTCTGGGGATAAGGATCAGAATCAGAAACCAAAATAATTTTTTGTTGTCATCAAAAAACAGGCAAGCTCTCTTTACTCACTGATCGCTGAAGGACAATCTCGTCACACGCCACTAGACGCTGATTGGCCCTTAGGCTCCTATTGTGACAGGAAAGGTTTCATTTCTGTGGTAAACAACGATGCTTCCAAAGCAAGAATATTTATCATTTCTAACGGCCAACAAGATTGCAACAGCTGTGAGTCCAGAATTGGATTTGGTATAGGAGGGTTTCATGATGAATCCAATACGTGTGGAAACGGAGCAAGGGACACATCAAGTAATGGACACACACGCCTCAAAGCTATAGGATATATCTTGATGCAGTGTCATGGAAGTAAACTTAATTCCAAGAAATGGACTTGAAAATAGATGGAATATGAAGACGTAGCATAAGAAACCGAGTCTAAACTGATCTGGTATCACTTCCTTAGGACTCTCCCAAAAAGCACCTCGACAATCCCCCTTTTGATCACAATTAACCTTTGGTTGTCAGTAACAGGAAGGGGTAAGGCAAAGGAGAAAAAGCCATGACTCCAATAAAATACTTGGTGGTGGTTGGCTACCTGGCATCGTATGGAAAAAGAGGAAAAAGTGAAAAACGGATAGGAAAAATTGTCATGCGTAACATAGAGAATACTAACTTGTAAAGCAGCGCTAGGTTTGAGCCTCTTGAAATTTTCCTTTTATAACCTCTCCTTACGCTAGAAAGTTATCAAAGTTTCCAGGAGTAGCTATCTCCTTCCTCTTCCTCTTTAAATATTCCAACTTCCTAAATAGCCTTTCCTAACGTCAGTCTGTTTCAAATGACTAAATACGATTTCACCTTTTACCTCCTCACAAAATCCTTCAATCAGTCATTTTTTCTCTCTTTGACTCGCTTGTTCTTTGTGCTCCGTCCAAGAAATTTTTCAAATTTTTCTGTAACACCTGGTTAATGATTTTTAAATATCAATCTTCTTAAGCAGAGCAATCCCCTCTGTCACTTTGATATCGCTTTCTATTTCACTATTTAGTGATATACAAAGAATTATTGGCATTCATGAAAGCATTCTCAACATAACCATTGTCCCAACGTTGATGCTTTAATCAGAAAGAGCCAGCTTCCTTATGTATGATAGTTAAACTGTTCGAAGATAGTCGCTTTGTTTAAAGGTAAATACCATAAGAGCAAAACCGACAATAACAGTATTAATAAAATAATAATAAAAATTGAGTCTTTTAAAATGTGGTAGCTTTCCCTGAATGATCAAATGAAACCACACAAGAATAATATCTTAGACACTTACTTCAGTAGCGTTTAAAACTTTCCCTCTGATAAAACTGGTCACTGACTCATGGATAGAATAAGAAAACCGCGTACACCAACTCACTTACCCACCTAGTTTCTACAAAACAGATAGAAGCATATTAAATCAACCAACTACGACAGTTCTCGTTAGTTCTGAATCACAGCTTGTGTTCTGTAGTTGCTACTATTTGTTTAGGACAGGCTGCAGCTTAGCTAATCTTGGTCTGTGCACATTTTCCTATGAAAAAAAAAAAACAGTTGCTCTCAGTATTAATAAACACATGCATGTGTCAAAGTTAAAGGTTTAATTCTGGACCAAAAGCTACCTTACCGAGGTTAATACTCAATCCCCCTTATCTCATCACGAGTCTCAAACTGTAATCATTTGGGTTGGAGATGTGAAATATTGTGTGTGCACTTTAACTTACCTCAGAATTAACTTTCTTTTCTAAAAACTTCAGGTCAACCAGTGGAATAACAGATGGCCTATGTAAAAAATAATGTACTTGTGACTGAGAGTCAACTTGTGACCCTTCCACTAACTAAATCAATAAGAATTTTATCATGAGACCGCCACCCTTTTCCTTTCTTCTTTCGACTTGCATCGCACAGGGCCGCAACGGTTCTCGCTTACTTTGCGCCATAATGAAAAGCTGTCCAACAGATATTTTTAATTTGTTTTTTAATTTTTTTTTTAAAATGAAAGCAAAAGCAGGGCTGTAGGGGTCATATGCTAAATACACATGCCGGTTTCACTCAAATTCAAGGATTTTGCTGAAAGTATAAGAATTATGACCACTAGCACAGATTGCTTTTAACGTAGTACTCATGTATCATCCATCATAACCCACCCACTAATTTTCGCGCGATTTTATGAGCTACTTTACGTCACGTGGTGCAAAATCACTGGACAGTTATCTCGCAATAACTCCCGTCTGACGTCGATATTTCTCTTCTGGTTATTTCCTTTGAAAAGAAGCAAAGGCAGCGCGGGAAAAATGCCAGCTAAAACTTTCACTTTTTCATCTTTATCATTTTACATAGCAGAAGAACAAACTCAATCTCATAGAGTCCATTAATTGTGAATTAACCTGAAAAGCTGGTCACCACTGCTTCTCCGGAAAGTAGAATTAAGGTAACAAAATTTGCTCTTCACGTCTTTGAATGAAGAAAGTTACAAGTAGGCTTTAAGATTTAGTACAACACAAACTTAACCTGATTCACTTCATAAATTAGAGAATTAATAGACTGCGTTTACTAACTAAAACATAAACCAACCGCCATCGTCTAACTCAGGCATAGACGAAAGAGCGGTTTTTGCACGATGTGGAAGGGTTACAAAATGACTAAACCTCTTTCTGGCTGGCTGGTATGTCGACTGATAATGCCCTTAGCAGAGAGATTGTTCTCAAAATTTCACATCTGCCTTCGAAGCTTCGCTTCTCGTCCAAACAACCATTTTCCGACGACCTCTCAGCCGCGGACATTATCAGCTGACACACCAGCCGCCTGAAGGGGTTTATTTACTAAATAACAAACCTTCTACACAGGAAACTGACAGGCAGGGGAAGTGACACCACTTACCTGCCATGTGCACATTGAAAAGGTAACTGACACTTAGAGAGACTCTGAATTAGTTCCTGACACTCAGTTGTGCCAAGAGGCTCCCCAAACTTGACAGCACCTGCAAAATAAAGAACTGCTAAAACAATGGTTGAAATCCACGTAAAATGTGGTCATATCATAAAAATAAACACCAACAACAATAAGAAAAAAAAAATCCTTCTTTCTGCTTTATTAAAGATGTACATGTATTCTTAACAAAACATGGCATTTTCTTATCTCTGCCATTAACTAATATGAGGAAAGAAATGTTCTCCGAGCGGAAGCACTGTTGGTCATCTATTTAGCTCACTTGAAAACAAATATGAAACTCTTTTCAGTCCCAAAGTGTGATTAAACGTGTATTTCATACAATACTTTTCACACGTAGTTTGCGGGATACAACTAAATCAATCCAGGTACCTCTTAATGCTACTAATGAAAAGCTGCAACTTCTACTTGACAAAAGAAGCATCAGAGAGATCCCTCTCTTTGTCATTGCATGTTTTATGAAACACCTTAATGCCCTGCACCCCCTCCATGGAACTTGGAAAACAAATGCATTTTTAACCAGATCAAATTCACGTATGTGAAAACCTCTGTGCTTAAACTCTCTAGTTATACCATGGCAAGCCTGGGAGCTGATCACTTCAGAAATAGTCTTGGGAATGGCTGGGGGTACTCCTCGTGTCCTTGATAATTGCTGTTGACAATATCAAAACATCTTGTTACGATTATAAGAGTTCTGCTTTCAGACTGTACCACCCTAATGATTGCTTCAAAGCAGTAGTTGGGAAAATGAAGTGTCCTTGACAGTAAACTCGAACGTTACAGAGACCACAAAAATCAGTCACAATACAAGTGCCCTGGAGTCCAGACATACGAGGCAAAACAACAGCGATGCATTTTGCTTCCTGTAAAATTCCCACCAAAGGGGCTAAAGGTGGCCTTGTCCGAACGTTAAACATGTTAAAGGCATTTTGCAATTGCAACTAGGCACTGAACCACGAAAAAAAAAATGACAAGGTATTACAATGTAGAACAATACAAAAATACGGACGGAAAGCGGAGCAACAATAAATGCTACACTGAACGATTCAAACTTTGATTTTTTCCGTTTCTAGGCTTCCGTTTGTAAACAGAAAAATATTTTAAGTGCTTCGGATTTTTTTTGGTTGGCCATGATAACACTTGAATGGTTTCATATGAGCGGACATTTTTGCTAATTACTCGTATCTTCCTTCGGTCATAAGGGGCTCGGAAAATATTACGATTACGCCACTCGCAAAATATCTACCCGTATTATGTGTTGAACCATCGAATAAGAGTCACCTATTTTATCAGCTACCGTTTTTTTTTTGTCTCAACAAAAGGTGAAACTTACTTCAATATGTTCTCTGATCAGCCCCTAAATCAGGAAATAAAATGCCCATTAAAACACAGACGTATTCTCTACATGTGACATATTACAGACTGAGCCTTTTAAAGTCAACACAGGAGAAAACTCAGTGCTCCACGCTGCAATTGTTTTGGGCTCTATGGCCGGTAGAAAATATTCACCAATTGAATTTACAACAAAAGTCGCCTTCCTTGGCAAATTATGTACAGAAGTCTGTGGCATGCCGTGATGTTTCCGTTTTGTTTTTTTGTTTTTTTGTTTTTTAATAAGATAAACATCTTACTAAAGTACTGCAACATGTATCACTACCAATACTACCAAAGGACGACTTTAATGAAAAGCTGAGTCTAGAGCCCTGTGATTAGCTCAGTCAAAACTTTGTGTTTGCACATTTACTGCGATTGTTGAGACAAATCAAGTATTTGTAACTATTGGTAAAGGATTAAAGGAAAGTCATTTCCAGAATGAACTAAGGAGGCAAGTTTCGAAAGAATCGGCAGTGCTACGTCGGTGGGAGCAACAAGGTAATTCTGGTTATGTCAACTGAGTTGATAATGTATTTTGGGCACCGTAAAAAGAGTTTCAAAGCTGACGTTTCGAGCGTTAGCCCTTCTTTAAAGCGCAAGAGATGGCCTAGAATGGCCTCTAATGGACCAGAATGGTCAAGTTCTGTTAAATTTAATACACAATAAACCAGAAGAGGAAGGAAACGCAAACATCTGTTCAACGGAAATTACATATTCTCTAGTGCATGAAACCATGCGTACAAAAGGAGCGAAGTTTGGGAAACTCTGAATGACTAACTACAAACATTTGATCATACCTTCACATTATTTAAAGCAACTGAAGGTCTTCCACGCTTGACCTCAGAAAACTCTCGTTCGACAAACACAGATGGCACGCTATCCACAAGGACTGATACCTCCTCAGAGGATTCTGAAGATTTGCTAATGATAAAACGTATCCCAATACGTTCTATTTCAGCTTGAAAAGATTTCAAGAGACAAATGTCTTCTCGAGACAAAAAAAGCTCCAGAGGAGGTGAGACTGTGGAAGACATGATCCTGGGTTTTCCTCCAGTTTTTGTGTCACTGCCATCTTCAAAGAGTTCTAAGATCAAAAGACAATGATTATGACATTAAGTGGAGTTTTCCTCCAGCTTTTATGTTGCTGCCATCTTCAAAGAGTTTTAAGATCAAAAGACAATAATTATAGCATTAAGTAGGGTTTTTCCTCCAGTTTTTGTGTCACTGAAACCTTCAAAGAGTTGTATGATCAAAAGACAATTATTGTGAGGTCTGGATAGCAGTAGAGAAGTCACAATCAGTGGGAAAAAACCTACACTTTATCATCAACTTTATCATGTTAATTTAAAAATTTACCTGTAATTGTACACATTGTTTTGTTTCTATTGTTATTTTGTCCCATGAACATTTCGTTATACACTTTGAGTTCAACTTTATACTTTGTATAAAAAATTAGAGCTGAAGATGACAGAAGAACTGCCGAAACACGTTTTTAAAAAATGTCGTATATTTTCAGCAATTATATAGCATTAAGTATCAAGTAAAGTAATGATCTTCGCAAGTGAGCTACAGTTTTAGTAATTACAGAAAAGAAGCCTGAAAAAATTCAGGCTTCGACAGAATTAGAACTTGTGCCTCTCCTAGTTGGCGTTATCACCAGCTTGGCAACAGAGCCACACGTGGGGGAGTGGGGCGCATTGTCTAACGGGGTTCCTCTTTTCTGTGGAGGAATCTGATCACAATCTGTAACAGTGCAATCATATAGTAATGTGTCCATGTTTCTAATCATCAATACCCCTGATGACCGATTACAAAAAAACTTAACAAGCGTGCTTCTTAAAGGTAACTTGTCATTATTTTGTTTCATATATTTTTCGCAGCGCACAACAATACCTGATTGAAGCCGTTCTAATCGAACCCGCTCATGAGCAGCGTGTTGATCCACCAAGACCAGTAAGCCATCAACTTCCTCTAATATTCAAAGACAAGAAAAAACGAACAGGCATCAGTTAGAAGGTGTAAAAGGACTTGCATTTATTTACAGACACATCAAAATTTTCCTGGTGTCGTGCATTTACTTCTTTCCTTGCTTCCTTCCACTCAAACAGTGCTTGTGCAGTCTTGAGGGACTTTAAGCAAACCACGACCGCTACGGCAACGAGAACGTGGAAAAACAATAGATCTAATTGGCAGAACAATAGCCCAGCACGTGCGTTTTCAAACTTTGTACATTTCTTAGCCGTCCTTTGCAAAACAACAACGTGAAATCACCAAAATTTGCGTCGTCTGTGAAGCTAAGCCGCGGCGGCAAGTTTTTTTAATTTACATTTGGAACTCAACGCTACTTTTATGCGTTATGTTGAGTTTGAGGTCTGGCGCCCTATGAGACGGTAAACATATGCAGCCATTTTCGAAATTCTAACTAAAAGTAGAAACTCATTTTTTAATCGACGTCTTCCGTGGCGTTGCCGTCCTGACTGTTTAAAGTCCCTTTTAGGTCAACTGACACGGTGATCCAATTCCCGAGTGACCACATCGTGAGACAAACGATTACGCTTCTCTTCTAAAGCGTTATTTACCACGATGAATAGCCACAACCTATTTTACGACATGTTATAATCTGTGATCCTGATCCGTTTTCCTCAAAACTGCACATTTTTTAACGATCAAAAACAAACATAAAGGAACATTTAACATGATAACATTTTCCTCATACAGCAATACTCAGTCTTTGATTATACAGCTAAGTTTACCCTCAAAAAGTGCAGGTACACAATAAAGCAAATTGCTGTTGTTGTTGTTGTTGTTGGCGGTGGTGGTGTAGTACAACGAACTGAACTGTTCATGTGAAAGTGTAGTGCGATCGTCCGGGTGAGTGTAGCCCTGAGAAAGACTGTTATCTGTGGTGGTGACTGACTTTTCGACAACCTGTGCGGAAGTCATCACTTGACTCTAATAATGACAACCACACAGGTTGTCGAAACGTCAGTCACCACCACCGACAACAGTTCTTCTCAGGAATACACTCACCCGGACGATCACACTACAATTTCACATGTTACCCCCGGCTTCAAACCATTTACTGTGTACTGTTCATATTATCCATGATCGTGTTGTCCAATCGACCACCTAAGAGTAGTCTTGAAAACGACTCTTATTAGTGAGCAAGACCATAGTTATGGCAAGACTAACGTTTTGGCAACCTGAGTAGAAGTCACCATCTGATTGATCAGTTTTGCTTTGAAGTTCTTACTTGTTAGACTTGCGAAGATAATCAATTAACCCTTTCAACCAAAAGATCTCACCATCAATTCTCTCCACGCTCCTCCATACATTTCTTACAATTTTTCGGCTTTGAGGATTAACTGCCAAACCAAACGATGCCCTCAAGTTCATATTCTAATTACTTCTTCCCATTATCTCATGGTGTGAATAATACTGATAATGTAAAGGAAAATACAATTTTTGGTCAGTAAGAGTCAAGTCTCAGTAATTGGTCAATTTCAATCTGCTTGTAAAAGTTAGGTAGCTCTAGTTTGTTCCTCAATTATGTTTACCTACCTTGGCAAATAAGTTCTTTGTAGGATGCCAAAAGTTGATGACATCCAACAACAGGGTGTGTTTGAAGCTAGGAACTAGTGAAATTGCCGTCCAAAGACTAATTCGAAAATCCGTTTCCCAGAGTAGAAAATTTCGTTAATCTATCCTATCACGACCGATTTACGCCACTTGAGTCTTAAAACCAATAACATCATGACTAAACTGACTAATGAGTTTACACGAACCGGACTTAGTGCACTCGACTGACAACAACTCTTCACCGACTTAACACTGATGATAACTTCCGCCCAGGTTGTCGAAACGTCAGTCACCGCTACTGACAACAGTCCTTCTTAAGACTACACTCACCTGGACGACCAGACTACACGATCTCTCGTTGAGTTAGTTTGACATTCAAAATAATTACTAAACGGTCGTGTACTTTGTTAATCGAATGACTGCTTCTGACTGATAAACCAAGTATCTCACCTTCATAAGATACGACTCCCACGATAAATTTTTCATCCAATTGTCGCAGCACCCTCATACTGGCCAGCATCTCTTTTGTGAAACGATACGGATGAACCACATTATGCACTGAGATGTGTGATTTATCCAAGCCTGACTTGCTGACCGCGAGTATATCCTACCACAAAAATTTTAAAAACACACCTTCACTTGTGAGAATCCGCAAAAAAATGAGGGCTTTGTGAAATTTAGCTGACCACAGACAGCTCTCTCAAGAGAGAAACATAGTAAGTGGTTTAGAAGTCCTTAAATTTTAAAACATACATGTACTTCCCTAAAATTCCCAGTCTCATGCAAAGTTGTTTTTAGTTGAGAATGTCAATTCCCTTTTAACACAATTTATGGTGCTTGCCATAGTGCAGCACTTCTATCTATTGCTTTACTTGTTGCTAATCAACAATTCTTTCAGTGGAATAAATCCTAATGAGGAACATTTTCCACATTTTATGCCTTCTCCAGTTTATTAAATAATTGTTAAGAAGTCTTGTACTTAATTGTGGTGTAGGACAATACGGCTGGCCACAACGATTAAAGTATGGCATCAAAACATACGTGTTCTTGTCAATCCAACATAGCGTTAGTCCCGATCGCAAAAATGTCAAAATAGAACTCGGCCAATATCAATTCGCGTTGACCAAACAAGCTTGGTCAATAACGCATATGCGTTGTCAGTGCAACACTGGTGCCTATGCGAGTGTTATTAAAACCACTCAACTCAGACAAATAGCATTAAATGCCCCGTCATGAAAGCCAAGAAGACCTTGGTTTCCTACAACCAACAGCACCAGTCAAAGACAGAGAATTAAAAGCATACTTCTATCATCTATGTCATTGATTGCAAGCAGAAATCAAGACTGTCAAGCAAATTTTTTCAAGCCCCAAGCTCGGTTCAGTGACTGCATAAGATATATGTGAACCGAAAGGAGCTACTGGACCAGTATCTTGATCTGCAAAAAACATCTGGAGCCATGCCAGGAACCTACTCAATCAAAATCAACCCCAATGCAATGCCAGAAGTATAATTATGGTCCTTGCAGACAATCCAGTAATCTCCTTAAATCCAAGATCATGGTAAGGCACACTCACACTGACACTAGTTAGTGTCTCTTGAAAAGAGACCAATGACTTCCAACAAAAACAAACTGTTGGGATGAATAATTTATTCCATTTCCTCACCTTCTCTGGTGCAGCAAATACAGGATTTTTCCAAATGTCCAGTAGCTGTGTTACAGTTTGTCCTCCATTTTTATGTAAGTCTTGTTCATAAGCTTGCAGGGCACTTGCATTGGTCCACTTACAAAGCTTTTCTTCTGCTTCTTGCTCTTCGAGATGTTTCTTGTATAGAGAGGCCAAGTGAGATTCACCCATTCCTAAAATGTACAGAAACATGCAAATTTGTATTTTTAAATGGCAACTAACATTTGAAATGAACTGCCACATAAATATTGCCCAGTTATAAGTGATGTTCTGAATTAGACAATTGGCAATAAAGGTCAGTGTTTTCATTCACTTCACACTGGGGTCCAAGGAAGGAACCCACAATCCTTTGACTTACCAGGTCTCAAAGGCAATTCTCTCTTCTGGTTACCATACATTTAACTGCAAAGTAGTTGAGAGAATTTACTGATACATGTACACATGAACACAAACAACAAAGCCCTGGCTGATAATGTTTCTTAGTGTTTCTCCTCTTGCAACCATCCAGGTAAATTTTGTAGAAAAATCACAGTTCAATTGCTTCTTGTAGTCCAGAAAATGAAGTAGCCATGCATATATCTCAAAATAAGACTAGAACAAAATTTTTTTGGCCTTTCTTATCTTACTTTTTACATCCATTCACAAAATTTTATTTTATCATCAGAGCCAAGATCAACATTACCCTCAGTAGCTGGGGCTAATTCCCGTTTCCTATCCTCCCGTGGAAGCCAAGGAGTACACTAAAATGACAAATGAGAGGCACATGGGTGTGGCACACGCTGGCCAAAGTCCTCTTCTTTCCCACAGAATTCAGTTTCACTTAACACTGGACAGCCATCATCTATAACACTGAAATCATTTGGTGCTTCAAAGGAAGAGTGTCCAGTTCGACTATTGATAAACAGTTTTCTTCCCTGTGATGCATCAAATGTACAAAACCAATCCTTGTTTGAAGTTTCTAACGATCCTCTGTGGGTTTCAATTGCATCAGGATTCAGTTTCGATTCTGATGTCAATGACTTGTGAATAGATTTACCCTTCATTAAAAGCAATTCATTCTTTCCAGCATTCCTTTCTTGATGGCCATTCATGTCTTTTAGACATTTTTCAATGTATCTGTCTTTATCAACTTGCTTAGAGTACACTTCATTTTCAACACATCCAGGTTCTACAGAGATATTTTTTCCAGTGGGAAATTTTGATGAACATGTCTGATCTATAGTTTTAGCTGAAACATATTCTCTGAGATATGAAAAATTGCTTGAGTCACAGGTCTCTTCGGCAAGCTTGGCCACACCAGCCCTGCCATCAGTATTGCTAAATTGAATGGGACATTTGGTATTAGGATTCAAACTACCATCCAAAATTGTTTCATTGACAAAACAATCATTACAAAATGCTGTGGACTTAGTATTGCAAACATTATTAACAGGAGCTACACTTGCATACCGGTCACTTCTCTTGACATTCATTGATTTTCTCCTGTCTGGAACAAATCTGCTGTTACAATTTCTTTTCAGAGTGATCAGTCTCCTAGTCTTTGATGACAAAGCTAACTCATCCACTGAAGCTTCCTTTGTTTCTTGCAATCTTTTCCTTGTACACTGCCTATTCAGAAAAATAGGGCTTGGAGAAGTAAAGGTTGCCATTACGTTGGTTCTCTTTTCACCTCTTATTGAGGAAACTGAGGGTTGAAGATTGTTTTTGCAGGTTGAATGCAAAACACTTCCTCTTCCTTTTGGACTGTTAGAATCAGATTGATGACTGTCTCTCTGTGCAGTCTTTCCAAGTGATAACAATGAGCCCATAAGTCTATTCCTTGTGGTGCAATTGGATGTATTACAGGCACCCAGGCTATCTGCAGTGCTTTTGTTTGACAGTTCATCTGCCTGGCTAACACTGTTGTGTCCAGTTCCACTGACACTACTATCACTGGCAGAAATGTTGTGCACACTATCTAGCGCATGAGATACATGGGTGGGCAATATCAATTCATGACTGACTGCTGCACCAGTTACTTCATCTTGTATAATTTTAATGAATTCACCATCTACAACAGAACTGCCGGTGAAAGAAACATGAAATGACTTGACACTAGGGAGGAGAGAGCTAATGCGGTTTGCATTTGTTGCCACAGTGTTAGTGTTTGCAAGTTCTAAAACAGAGGTTGGACTTGGTGCAGTGACATTCCTTGATGTCTTGATGATTTCTTGATCTTCAATGTCATCTTCATTAATCCTATCATCGCTACATCTCAGTCCTTTTTCTGAAACATCAAAGACAGAATATTCATTCTTTGAACAAGAAGTGTAATTCTGATTATCACATTCCTTTGATTCAGATTTCTTATCTTCCTTTGGTCTCAAAACGGTTGAAGAGTGCAAGCTTTTCTTGACATCACTAGTTTCAATCTCCCTTTTGTACTCAAAAGCCTCCAGATTAGCGGAAGATGAACCTTTCCTAACACATCCATCCCCACTTGGTTTTGATACACCTGAGGTTGCTGAATCTTCATTGGAGAACAAGTTTTTCGCATTTAGAAATTCCTCAATGCATTTTTCCACACAATACAGGACTTTGTCCCAATTCTGAAATTCGATCAATGTCTTTGCTGGCTCAAGGCAAATGTCAAATTCAGTGACATGGCAGTCAATATTTAGAACATATATACCATGTTTCTCAAAAATCTTTGTATTCTGAGGGCTTGTTGTTTTATTCTGGTGACTCTCTGATCTCGCAGCATCTTTTTCTTGAAGTACAGGCAATCTCTTCAAAAGTTCTGATTTTGAAAGAATGCTATTCACAAGCTTGTGAAGTCTTGTCTTTAGCATTAAACGCCTGTTTACATACAAAAATTGCAGACTCTTACTATGATGTGTGTCAGCTGAAATAAAACCAGACACTTTGAAGTTGCTCTGTTCAAATTGTACTTGATGCAAGTGTTTTGATCTTTGGTTGCCAAACAGTTGAGAGAATGTTGAGACGACAGACTTGCAGACATGCGTTTGAAGGCATTTTGCTCCTGATGAATCGTTTATCAAAGTGACTGCTGTCTTTGGGTTTATGAGAGCAATGGATGCAAGTCTGTGCCGAGCGCGGTCAAAGTCAAGTGTTTCCATGATAGCTTTACGCCTCACAGGAAGGTTTGAGAAAAGCCCATGAACTGTAACACTCGTTCCTGTGATAGTTCTCGGAAATTGGGACTCTTTAAGCTCCAGAACTTGAGAGTTTCGAAACATTTTGCAGTAGGTTTGATAAGAAGACCGATGACGGGTGGATATTTCGAGCACATCGCAGACCTCTCGAATACTTGCAAGAGCTTCTCCTCTGAAACCGTGAAAACTCAACTGTTCCAAATCTTCAAGAACATGGCACTTACTACTTGAGTATCGCTCTCCAACAGATCTTAGATCTCCATGAGCTATACCAATACCATTATCACACACTTGGATCTTGAAATTCGGTACGTCTATCCGAACTGTAATGCAGGTAGCTTCAGCATCTAAGCTGTTCAAAACAAGTTCTTCGACGCATTGCGTCAAGTTAGTGATGGCGACCCCTGATCTAAGACGAGATCGCACCTCTTCTTGCAAAGGGCGGATCATGCCTGGCAGAAGAAGGGGATTACATATCTGATCAAACTAAGTGACTAAGCCGATCATAACTACTAAAACTGCCTGGGGTTCCTGTTGTAAATACTCTGCCAATACGCGCCATATTGAAAGTCTTCGCGCTCTGGATATCCCAAGGACCTTTGCAGGCTGCATACAGAGGCATTGTCTATGACTGATACATGACAATTAAAGGGTCGCCATTTTCATTCTCTGGAGGAAAAATGTTACTCTCCACTAGTAGAAGTAAGTATATTCTCTTCGTTTTCTTGATGACTCGTCGCTACTTTTATTTTCCTTTCTAATATTTCCCTCTATTTTGATTTGCAGTGGCGAAATCAAAATCAAAGTAAGTGATCACTTGGTATATAATTTTAATTTGTAAAGAGCTGATTCGCGATCAGCTGCGAAAAAGGTTAAAAAAACATGCACCTACAGTATTATTAAGGTTTGGATTTGAGATCAGGTCTGGGCTTCAGTACTTTGCTCCCGGTAAGTGACTATTTTTCCCGGCGAATAGGTACGTAATCTTGTTAAAATTAAAGTTAGTGGGCAATGTAACTAGTGGTTTAATTATGTGCGGTTTCTAGTGACAGCTAGCTAGTGTCATGGATCTACAAGGTGTGAGTCACCAAGATCGCGAAGAACTAACCTCATTCTCTTTTTGTTGTTTTGTAGGCGCATAATTGTACAACTTGTTAGTATGGCTGGTACTGGATATTATTACATGATGACCAGGAACAAACTCAAACCCAAGCTGGAGTTCATGAAATACGATCCAATCGGTAAGTAGGGCCTGTTGATTTGAAAAGGGATGGATGGACAGTCTGGCAGTGTGCACGTGAACTGATGTCATGGTAAACAGTACTGGACATGGGTGAATTATTCAATCAATTAATCAATCAACTTTATTTAACGAGGGTAACATGCATGGGAGAGTGCTTCAACTGAGTAACTAGTGGCCCTCATGTGTTGCTGTTCATTAAACTGTCAAACATCTATTAATAATAATAGTAATAATAATAATAATAAATATTTATATAGCCAGGGGTTTCATTAAGGGCTAGGCACCGGGAAAATTGACCAGTTGTGAGGACGACTTTGCCCACCTGATTTGACCATCTGGAGGAAAGTTTACCTTATAAAGAAGTTCAGTTCAAAGAGTTTTGCCCGCCTGTGAAAACCAGTTGCCCTCCTGCAGAAAACATTAATGAAACCCCTGTATAGCACCTATCCTTTTCAGTGCCAAGCACTTTACAGTGCTTCAAAAAGGACTAAAATCATATACATATATGAAGAGTGAAGCGATTCACGAAACAGGCTTGTCGGGAAATGTAGTTACGTCCTTTTTTCCTCTCACAATATTTATATATATATATATATATATATAGAGAGAGAGAGAGGGATTAAGCTTGGTGTCCGTGAAACAGTGCTCGATACAAATAGTAGAGTGGGTATAATATGTGGTAGTCGGAAAAAAACCAACTACAGATACATCCCTACAGACCTGTTTCGTGGTTGCCCACTCATCAGGGGATTTTAATGGCAGAATAATGCAATACCATCGCTTATATNTGATTGATTGACTGATAGAATGATAGGAAAGCACCCTCACGAAGAATAATCTTGCTGCATCGAGAATACTCCAAGTAGCATTTGTTGCAAAGTGCAAAAAGCGAGCAAATGGCCCAAAACCTGGAGAATCCAACCACTCTTAAACTCTAACAAAAATTCACAACTGTAACTTTAAAAATAGGGCTCTGAGTTGTACTGAAAACAAAAAAAGGTCAAGATAAAAGAGGCTTTGTCTTGATTTGTCTGCATGTAGAAATTTTCTGTTATTACTAACCTCTGAATTGCACTGTTCACTCAACATTTTTTTTATTATCCTTTCTGTTTTAGATGAAGGGAAACATTTTCACTCAAAATATTATCTGTAACGCGTTCGGAATGTACCAGAAAATGACATGATTGTATCTCAAACAGCCGACCAGATTATTCAACACACGATCCCATTGTATTACATGTCACGCAGTGTGTAAACATGAATGCAATAGGCCAATAACAGTATGCATATAACAACATATTTTATTTAAAGTTCAGTTGTAGAGCTGATGTGGTGATTTCCAAAGTGTATTATTTGATTATAAGTGATTTTGCCAGATATAAAGTAAAACGGACAATTGCGGTTGTGTCTACTCTTGCGTAACCGTTCCTCATACTCAATGCGAGGGTGCTTCTGCAGTAAAGAGTAGTAAAATTATTAACTTGTAATTTTTCTTGCCAGACTGACTTGGATTCAGTTGTTTTTAGTTGTAAAAGGATTACTGTGCAATCTTGGTTCACTATCGCAAGGATTCCGACTGTTAAAATTTGTCCGACCTAAAATGGGTAGTGTCAGAGCAAAAGCATGTTTCACCGGACAACGTGACGGGCGACTGCTCGTTCGTTATTTGCAGCCTTGCAGAATATATCATGTTAATGACAACTTCATTATTGAAAGAGACAGCAGTTTTTTATTGGCCAACAAGTAACAATGCAGACACTCATCATCATTAACATTAATACTGGTGGTCATTTCCTAATACTTACTGTACAATAATTCAATTCCAAATATTGATATTAAACATATATTAGTGGGGGAAGACAAAAGTAGACATACACTTTCCTATTCATTTTCAGTTTTAAAACAAAACACTGACCAACAGTTTTTTATTGGTTTGTTGGGCCAGATGGCAGAAGCTTTCTCTTGCAGGCATCCACAAAAAGCTTGCATACTAGTGGCATACACTAATGCACTTACAGGCACCAATGAGTCACCAAATGGGTTTTAGCATGTTCTCAATGGTGAAACAAAATACTTATACCTTGTTCAAATGCCAGTTGGAAAAAGAGACCCAACAGGAATTTTCCTACAACTTACTAAAGTTTTAGACAACAAATGGCTGGAACCTGGGGGTAACATCTGCTAATGTTGTCTGGGTTAGGGTAAGGTGTAGTCCTGGGAAGGACTTTTGTCAGCAGTAGTGACCGACCTTTCAACAACCTAAGCAGAAGTCATCATCAGAGTCAAGTAAACAGTTGTGTTCAGTTGAATGCACTAAGCCCGGCAATAAGTATCTTCAACTGAAGACAAATATTCATTTGACTCTGATGATGACTTCTGCTTGTCAGTCACTATTACAGACAACAGTCTTTCTCAGACTGCACAAGCACTAAAGTTTTAGAGTTGAGTGCTCTCATTTCTATGAGTGACCAAAGAGGAATATCTCTTTAATGTATCAATACATCTCAGGCACAATGGTAATGAGGAAAAATATATATATAAATTATAGGATATTGTTTGATTGAGGCCTTGAACTCCTATGAGTGACCAAGACAGAATTTCTCCCTACAATATCGTGCAGACTAGTAATTATAATGAGAATAGAGAGAATTATAAATTAAGGGATCATTAGCTGATCCATTACCAAATTCTCTGAACTAATATCATAAGAAAGGTATTGCGGACAGTTGGGAGAATTACTAATGAGATCTTAAGAGTGAAGGGGTTCACAATAAATCTTGATTGCAAAATGGTAATGAATGTACAACACACAGCACAGATCTCAAGAGTGAAACAAATAATGATTAAAGTTCCTTTACAGTTATCTCCTTCCCTGCTGTCATTTGATCTCATCTTGCTCTGAAAATATATGTGAGTAGACAGCCAATGAAATTTAAGGGAAACTGAAGAGACTGGCTATCATCTCCAAAACTCATCACCACATCACACCAAACATTTTCATGTCACCAATAATGGAATCCACACTAGAAGTGTGCTTGTATGTGAGCAGCTTGATTACTGGTAATAATAAAGGAAAGTATTTTAACAATGGCAATGATAGATCTTTGCACCAACTGGAGTGTTCAATTAATGCATAAATTTCATCTCTAGCCAAAATTACAAAACCCATGAATATAACATAGTTGTCAGAGGTGCTTCACCTCATTTCCAACAATAGACAAGCAATTTGTTTTATACAATGCTCTTCAATATGTCACTAATATTCCTAAAGGTTGCAATTTTTTTCATTTATATTACATCTCAGACAGGTATATTTGGTGTCATTTACATGACAATAATTATCAAAGATAACAGTTACTGTATTCTTTTTAATTTAAGATCTGTTGATAATAGCTTAAAGTTTTATGTCGAGGATAGTCTGTCCCTTGAAACACTGTTGCTAAACAGAGAGGATGGTAGTTCTCGTTTAGTAGGATAGCTAGACTGTGTCCCCACAGCCAACACAGTTGCTCTGGCAATTTCACCAGATCTCCTAACAACCTCATCAAAAGGAAGGTCCTTGAATTTTGCCATGTAAAATGCAAGAGCTCCAATGAATGCATCTCCAGCTCCCTAAACAAGACCAAAAATAAAAAAAAATGTCAACTTACAAAGAAAATGGAAATTATAAATTAAAGGAACTAAAAAATCAAGGTGTTTAATATGCACTGGGGATTAGAGAATTCTGCTACTGCCACATAAAAAAAACTCTGTTTGAATTCCAAGGGCCTGAGTTATTTTTTCATTCAGAGATAGAAGATAGATACTCCTGTTTATATACCTGTTCTCCCATAATTTCTAAATTTCTCTATGAAATCTCTCAAATAAAAATTTTAACTCTAACATACCCATCAATTATGGTCACTTGGTTTAAAACCACAATAAAACACATATCTGTATCTATCTACTAGGAGTGTGCATACTCTTGATTGTTGAACAAAACTCTCCATTTCAGCACATAAGGAAATGTATAGAAGCTGTAGGGAGAATATTCTTATTGATGTTAGGGTGTAAACATAGACTACATTTGGAAAGGTGTCCATATGAAAATTAATGATTTAAACTTCAAGTTTTGACTATTCTGCATTACCGTGGTATCCACAGGTTCTGCTGCTGTGACAGGAATGTGTTTGGGTATGCGGTTTTCTTTAGTTCCAATAACAGAGCCTTTATTGCCAAGTGTGATAACTGCCCTACGAGCCCCTCTCTCCAATACCATTATCACAGCCTTCTCTGCATCTTCTATTGTTTTTACTGACAATCCTGTTAGAAGTTCAGCCTGTGACAGAAATAGCAAGTTCTTAGTCACAAAGTACATGAAATGGGGGTACGAAGGGGGGGGGGGGTCTGATGTCTTGCACATTGGATTCCATGTCAAAATGTCTCACTAAGAACACTAGCCAGGGTCAGAAAAAGTTCTCAGAGAGACATTTTATTCTCACTATGTTGCTCTCCACTAACACCGAGTGTATAACAGGGTGTAGCAAACAGTCTGGGAGGTTCTCTTTTTTAGCTTGGTAATAAAGCAAGGCAAACAGGAGGTTAGGAGGAAAAAAAATGACCATGTTTCCTCCTTTCTTGGTGTTCATCTTGCTACACTATCATGCTCCCAGCAAAAATGAACCTCTGATTGCAGGTTAGAAATTAGATGGAATCCTTGGGGTGCAACCATCTCTCCATTTGACAAAACAAATGGTAAAGCCATGGGGAAAGAGGAACACCATCAAATTAAAGAGCACTAAAAAGACCAAGCTATACCAAATAGGAGTACTTTTCCAGGTTAAGGGTATGTAGAATTATAAACAAGTTGTGTCTTCTATAAAGCCAGGGCTATTCTCGAACAGTGCCTGGTTAAATGCCAATAAAAATTTTGTTTTTTAATTAATCTATGTGCCATTTGACATGCACAAGATTACCTCACATTTCCAACATGATGCTTGAAAGATATAAATGTACTTAGTTTCAACAATTTAGACTTAAACATATCTATTATTTTTATTAATACCTCACTCTCATTTGCACAGAATACATCACTAAGTGCATAATAAAAATAATCCAGCCACGACAGAGCTGGTGCTGGGTTGAATATTGTTTGCACTGCAAGCAGAGAAACAGCATGGTGTTAGTCACTGAAAGGGGTTTCATGAAACTTAAACAAAAAGAATTCCAAGATTCGAATTCCAAGGTTCAAGCCCCGGCCGGACCAACACTCAAGGTCTTAAAATAATTGAGAAGAATTTGCTACCTTTCGATAACATCAAGAAATGGTTAGATATTCTAGTCTTCTCGGATAGGGTTGGGGTAGGAGACGTTAATTTCCCACACACGAGATTACTGTGTGATGGATGTCCTCCCCTGGGGTGGGGAGGAGGGGGGGAAGGCGGGGAGACAGGAGATGGACTGGCATTGCATCCTAACCAACACGAGTGGCAATATCCTGGTTTCTCTATTCTTTATAAACAGGATAAGCTCAAGCCAAATTAGATCTTGGCTCGATTGCCAGCTTTAACCCTACTTAAAAGAAATGCCACACCAGCAAGTAACAAATTTTATTTGTGACAAGGTACAGAATTTACTGTTTTTTTTTTTTTCCTTTGTCTAGACAGAAACTGTGGATGTTGTCAGCCATGAACAAGACAAAAGGCCAGATGAATTATATGCTATCCTTAGAGACTTTCTTCATCAAGTTTATTTCAGGTACAGTAAGGTTGTGTGTAAATAATTATGCTTATAAGAGAAACAAGTTTTTGCATAGGATTAATCATTTTCCTAACTTAAATTGTTTTTTAAAAAAAAAAAAAACAATTTCCTTTGTCTCTCAAGTGTACATTTTCCTAAATCAAAAAGTGGTTCTACACAGCTCCGGATAGCTGTAGGACTCTAAGAAAACCAACTGCAATTAGTTTTTGTATTAAGGTAGAAAATCATCGGTCTGTACCAAACTGTGGAGGGATGCAGCAAAATTGAATAATGATTTATTTATTTGATCACTTTCACCAGAGTGTGGTGAGGGTCACACAACAGAGCGAGGTTCCAAATTAAGTGTGCTCAATATCCCGCCCATCCCACCCCAGGGGAGGACACCCATCACACAGTAATCTCATGTGTGGGAAATTAATGTCTCCTACCCCAACCCTGCAGGAGACGGGACCTCCATTTATTCATCCCTATCCAAG